CCATTTGGCTACTGCATAAATTAGTTTGCTCTGGAGCCATCCTTCCTGAGCGAAGACAAAAGTGTGTGAGCTGGAGGCTAAAAAACTGTGAGCTAGCTCACACTAACTCAGCTTAGAGGGAACACTGGACCAGACAGTGGTTTGGATCCAGTTATGTGTAAGTGGAAACAGTAATGGACTTAGCGCAGCTCCATTTGCATACGTTCTTGTGCAACACTGAGCACTTTCCTCTCTAAATATTATAGTGCCCAGAAATTGGTTGCTCAGGTTCTTTGGCAAGCAGAACAGCAAGTGGGGATACAATAAGCTTGATTTACCACAAGCGGTTATTGTGGTCTTTTCCTTGCATCTCTACTTCTCCCAGACATCTAGCACAAACAGAAATTTTGCACTAGATCCATACCGTTGGCTACCACACTGGAAGGCTGGCCTGCTCATTAATCTGCCTTAATGACAGAAATTAAATATAGCCCTCTACCTTAAAGGTCAAGATAGGACTGTTACTCCAACCTCCACTTAAAGAAAAACCCCTTTGCTTCCCCTTTCCTGACTCCTTTATTTTAGTCTTATGTTCTTCTTTCATGATAATAAATGTTAAACATTTTATTGCTTTCACTTTTGACATGTTGATGGATTGGTTTATTATTTACCTTTGGGCAAAGCTCTCTAGGGAACTTTGTAAGCTATTTTAGAAAACATCTATCAGGCATACATTTATAGAATAGGCCCATTTTTTTAATCACAGAAGGAGGTACTGTGTATGTGTAGTTCCTGCAGGAGGTTAAGAAGCACCATATCTGTATTGGCTTCACACACTGCAGGAGAAAAGTGCTGTGAGAGATAGGAGGCAGGAAAGAATAGAATATCTACAGGGTGAGACCATAGTGAGTGTTAACTTTTCCAGCAGAGTCAGCTGATGTATGTTTTAAATGATTGTCTAGAAATGGGGCTATAACTACTATGTCAGTTTGCTCTATTTTGGTTCACCTCTGCTGATACAGTTAGAGATGGTTGAAGCATCAAATATCTGTCCTTCGGAACTATTTAGGGTTGGTTCAGAAGTTGCTAAATGGTTCCATGTGCAAGGATCCCCAGCAGGTTCAGGAACCACAGAGAAAGGCATGCCTGACTAGCTGCATTCACAGCATTCGGATTCAGCATCCACCTTGGCTGTATTCCCATGAGTATGCAGATGATAAATGTGTCTTCCCCTGCTCAAGCAAAATGGAAATCTGCAGGTGCATCAGGTCAGATGTCACATCCTCTGTGCATCTGCATCCCCAGATTTGCTTAGGCCTCCCTGCATGGAGTGATTTGTTAGTGACTGAATCAACATTTAGAATTTTACTTCCTTGTGTTGAATCAGAATGAAATACTAAATTTTATCAGATAGAACGTTTTGATATACATTTTTTTTGTTGAAACCTGTAGCCAGCCACTAAGTTGCTTAGGACTCTGATGACTGACCACTTAAGAAATATTCGCTGTGCATATGCTGCCATTCTATTGCTGTAATATATGGAGATTTACATCAATTTAAAGCATGATTGATCGTGACTGTCCTGGAAACCTAATTACTAGAAGAATATGATGGTAGAGATTTGACTAAACCTTTAATGTAAATAGATACCAGTAGTGTGGATGCATGCTAATGTGATTTGGTGGAAATATTCTAACAGTGTCAGGACACCAGGGTTTCTTTCTGCTATGGGAATGGAAAGATAGACTGCTAAGTAATTTGCAGCACTGGAAACTACTGGCTATTAGGAGTGGTTGGAGGGGAGTGAGGCTATTCCCTCTGGAGGAATTTTACCTGCAGTTGCGCTATCACACAGTCCTTTGGAGCTGCGGGCACAGCCCGCCACTGAGTGATCGGACACAACCGTGGGTGTTAGGTTGGGTTTTTTTGCCATTTGTTTCTGATGTGCTTAAACAAGAATTGATGGATCGCACCTTTGCATTGAGGGCTCTCTATGGAGGGTGTGATGATGCGCATACTGAGAAGGGGGGGGAAACGGCACAGAGTCGGGTTAACCCTAACCCTGATCAGACCATCCTGGCACCATGAGAGAGTGCTGCAGTGATCAGACAGGGGAAAGTCTGTCCGTGGCCTGTAGCAACCTGTTTGCTACCGGTCTTTCCCCTGTGCCTGTTTACTCCACTTCTGCAGTGGAGCAACATGGGTTGCTGACGGCTGTGGGACGCTTCCCAGATGTTCATGTCTGATCGCACCCTTTAAATCTGCCTGGCATTCGCGCCTGTGTCGGGGCTAATTGTGCATATGATCGCAGCCCTAGAAGTATTATCTTAGTTCTGGTAATGATGTAATAGTATAGTGCCTGTTTACTCCGCTTCTGTGGCGGAGCAACACGGGTTGCTGACAGCTGTGGGACACTTCCCAGATGTTCATGTCTGATCACGCCCTTTAAATTAATCCAGCATTCGTGCCTATGTCGGGACTAATTGTGCGTATGATCGCAGCCCTAGAAGTATTATCTTAGTTCTGGTAATGATGCAATAGTATAGTGGTCCTTCCAGATTGCCATGCTGGAAAATTATGGATTTCAGAGTTTGAGCAAGAGCAGTTTCACTTTTCTCTTCAATGTAACTGTTGATGTCAGCCAGTTCAGATCAGAGTTTTCCTCCTTTTTGTGGATATAATAATGTTACCGGCTAGTGATATATGTTCTATGTGGCCTTCTCTTCATGATATTTAACACAATGAAGGTGAGATTCTTCTGAGCACACAGAGAGATTCTTTGTGGACTAGATAAAGCACAAGTTTAAGGAACTTGTCCTAAGCAGTGTTTTGGGCTGTGTGGAAATCACTTCAAAAAACCTCAGGTTGGTAAAGCGATCTTTTGAGATTTGGCTACCCAGGGACATATTGAGGAACTGAACTATGCATGCCTCGGGAAGCGGGGAAATTATGCAACTTGTCTGGATTTTTGCTTAGCAGCTACTGGCATTATTGACTCTGACAGAAAGTATGCTGTAATACTTTGCATCAGAAAGGTGGGTTTTTTTTTACATATATGGTTGAATTATGGCACTTGGCACAGCACTGCAATTTTCCAAAACTGTGAGATCATTTGGTCTGTAGTCTCATGATGAATCCCTGCAAAGGTGTCTGATTGCAAAAAATTTAATGATGATGATGATGATGATGTCTCTTGCATTCCTCAATAAACAAGAAAAAACACTGACTGCAGAGACAAGAGCAGGAAATACTCATAAAATTCTTTGGGCAAGGAGTCTACCTTTCTTTGACATCCAATTGACCAAAAATCCTGATTGGCAACCAGTGGTGTGACCAGGGGTCATTTGGGGCTGGAGCGCACTGGAGCACTGCTCCGTCAGCTCAGGAGCTGGCACAAATGGCGGCAGCGGCAAGTCCCGCCCCCAGCTCCCTGCACTGAAGCCCTGCGGCCTGGGAGAGGCCTGAAGAGGCCCATTTTCGGCCTCCCGGGGCCCACGCTGGAGTGCTGCGGCCCATGGGAGGCCTGAGGAGGCCCGTTGCCAACCACCCCAGGCCTGCACTTTCCACTTCCAGTTCAGTTTGACTCTTGTTAGCAGCCATGTAACGGCAAGGTTTCCTGCTGGTGACCCTTTTATATTTAAAATATTTCCAGTTGGTTATATACCTACTGTATGTGTTCCTCTTCATGATACTTAACTAGGCTTTCAAGCTCTGGCTTGAAAAATTCCTGGAGATTTGGGCATGGTTCTTGGGGAGGGTGGAGTTTGGGGAGGCTAGGTATCTCAGTGGGGAAGTGATGTCACTTTAGGACTTCAGTATCTCCTGGACTCTGGTTTGTACTATAGAGGCTGCCCTCCAAAACTGGCATATCCTCCAGGGGAACTTATCTGGGTAGTCTGGGGGTCAGCTGTAATTCTGGAAGAGCTCTGGCCATCACTTGGAGGTTGATAACATAATACTTAATAGATACTGCAAACAAAATTGCATGTACCCACTAGAAAAAGATTGCGTAAAGTGGTATACGAACATTAGGTTTCCATTGCAGTGTTGCATACCATAGCTTTCTTTAGCTTCTATTGTTGGAATTCCAGGGAGAATAAGAATGTTTTCTCAGAAAACTGGTAGATATACCGAGAAAGCTGAAGCATGACCATTGCCAGGTTAGAAATGTAGAAGTATAGAGATGAGCAGTATCTAAAGGTCATCTGGTTTACCCTTTATTGCAACAAAGCCTAACATTTCATCTCTGTGCCTTTCTAGTGAATAAGCCCATAACAAAGTTGATAGACCAAACAAGTTGCTTTTGCTTTACTTATGGGATTTATATTCCTGCCTCCTTCTGGAAGCTTGGGACTTTTGTGATTGGGGATGGTCCCTTCAAAACCAAATGAATGAGCTTTTATAAAATATCAGAATTACCCTTCCAAATGTCAGTACCACTAAAAGGAGATTAATTAACCTCAAGACCAGTTCCAAAAGGCCCTACTAAGAACTGTGTCTTTTACAAATGAGTTTATTTAGGCTGACACTGCCCTGTCTTGCAGTTTTGAAAATTTGTTGTTGAAATTTGCTAAATCAAGTAAAAGTTAGGTAAATCAACTGAAAGTTAGAAGATGACTATTTCAAATTCTCTTTGATCTTCAGGTAATTGCATGTTTTACCTATGAAATTATGTTGAGAAAGTGCAATTTTATAGAACATATTATGAGTCTACAGGGTCTATGGAAGGATTTTTGTCGTGTTTGTGGAATGTTTTAAAACAGCAATGTTGCAGAATTACAGCACTTTAAATCCTTTGACTTCCATGAATTTAGAAAGGTATAGCTGCTTAGGACAGCACTGTTAGTGTTCCTACCTATTAATATTATGTTCATATACATTTTATAGTATTATATTTGCATTGGATTGCAGAGCTACAAGTATAAAATGGAATATTTGTGTTTTGAATGGGGATTTAGAAAATGGATTTGGATTGTATACATATTTGGAAAAATATTCACACCTGTTCTTTCTTGTATAGCAGTCCATGAAAAGAAGAGGAAGCAAAGACCTGCAGAAATCAGAAAAAAAGTCACAGCAGACACCTACTGAAGTAAGCTAAAAATAATTCTGACTAGCTGATGCTATACTGTGCCCATTTTGGATATGGAATGTAGAGTTCCATAAGTGGGGATGGGTCATGGATTGGTACTTCCAGTTAAAGGACTTCTAGTAGCAAGTATTGGAAAAGGCCTCAGTGCTTGAAACCTTGAGGGTTGTTACTAATCAGACTAAACAACACTGAGCTACCTGGACCAATAATTTGACTTGGTACAAGGCATCATTCCCTCATATATGAGTGCAGCCTTTCCCATAGTAAACAATATTGGCTGTTTTTGTGGTACTTATTTATGGGACCATAACCCATATCTTGAAATGTATGTCAACAAACACAGCAGTGTGTTTATTTAAGAAAATTCATAATATCATGCATACATTTAGTTATGGACAGTCATGTGTATTTGGTGATTAAGTGTAGAGAAGTTCATACCAGTTTAACTCCTAATATTTAAAACCTGGATAGTTCTTCAGTGTTCATTACAATGGTCAATTTTTATCACTGTTTCTGTTATACTCCCTCGAGAAGATGCCACAAATGATGTTTATACAATTGTGATGCCCTTCCTCTTGATAATGAAAAGAAGATTAACATATTTACAAATCCAGTATATTCTTCAGGAAGGTGTGATTGGCTGCAGTTTTCTGTTGAGAGTGTACTTGATGGCATACCCAGATTTGTGATGTCATGTGAAATAGCCTTTGGTGGATGAATCAGGATTTTGTTTTCATTGTTTAATGCTGCTGAGGAATAGTGCCCTGGGTTTACTATAGATTTAATGGCAGCCTGTGCTTTCTTTAGAACTTGCTGACATTTAATATTTGAAACCTGGATCAAAACATAAACTTCCCTCTGTTGAGACTGATAGGAAAACTATTGAGTTTCTTACAATTTTGCAGGGCCTGCAAAACGGCCCTCTGTTGAGACTGATAGGAAAACTATACAATTCTGCAGGGCCTGCAAAACAGACCTGTTCTGCCAGGCCTTTGGCTGAGGCGGTGGATGTCCAAACGACATTGGCCTTCCCTGCTTCGCTTGCTTAATCTACCCAATTTGCCATCCTGCTTTAGAGCCCTGCCTTTACAAACTTGGCACCAGCACCAGATGACTTGGGTCTCTGTAAGAGAAATGTACCCTTCCTAACATTAGTGCAGCAGGCACAGTAATTAGAAATGTTTAAGCTGCCATCAGGAGTTTATAACTGCACTGTTGATTTTATGAAGTATTATTTATTGTTGAATGTTTAATTATTGTTTTACTGAATGTTGTGAGCCCACTTGTGGGGTATGGTGAGATATAAATTGAAATAAATAAATAAATAAAATTCAGCACAGCTAGGACTCTGTGCTATGGTTATCTTTTTGGTTGCTGTTGAAGTGCCTATTGGTAGGACTGCTTACATGTACAGAAAATATTGAATATGTGTTGCTGTGTTTTTTTTCATGAGGAGGACAATGAAGATTTGAAATGCCAGTTGCAGTTTGTCAAAGAGGAGGCTGCCCTCATGAGGAAAAAATTGGCTAAAATAGACAAGGAAAAGGACAGGTTTGAACATGACCTTCAAAAATATAGATCAATTTATGGAGATCTAGACAGTCCCTTACCCAAAGGGGAAGCTGGAGGTCCACCTACCACAAGAGAATCAGAACTTAAGCTTCGTCTGAGGTTAGTAGAAGAAGAAGCCAATATTCTGGGAAGGAAAATTGTAGAGCTGGAAGTAGAAAATAGAGGGCTGAAAGCAGAGCTTGATGACTTAAGAGGAGATGATTTCTCAGGGACAGCCAATCCCCTCATGGGGGAACAGAGTGAATCTCTATCGGAGTTACGACAGCATCTGCAGCTAGTTGAGGATGAAACGGAACTGCTAAGGAGAAACTTGGCTGATGTGGAAGAACAAAATAAGCGGATCACAACAGAGCTAAACAAATACAAATACAAATCTGGGGCTCATGATAGTTCGAGGCATCACGATAGTGCCAAAACAGAAGCTCTACAGGAAGAACTCAAAGCTGCCCGCATGCAGATCAATGAACTCAGTGGTAAAGTCATGCAACTTCAGTATGAAAACAGAGTCCTGATGTCCAACATGCAGCGCTATGATCTAGCCTCTCACTTAGGGATCCGGGGCAGTCCCAGAGACAGTGATGCTGAAAGTGATGCAGGGAAAAAAGAAAGCGATGATGACTCCCGTCCCCCCCATCGCAAAAGAGAAGGGCCCATTGGTGGAGAAAGTGACTCAGAGGAAGTCCGCAACATTCGTTGCCTGACTCCTACTAGATCATTCTATCCAACCCCATCAGGGTGGCAGAAAAGTTTCACAGACCGTCAGCAAATGAAGGACATCCGCTGTGAAGCAGAGCGTCTTGGCAAGACAATAGACCGCCTGATTTCTGACACAAGCACTATAATTGCAGAGGCAAGAATTTATGTGGCAAACGGGGACCTGTTTGGACTCATGGATGATGAAGATGATGGCAGTAGGATACGGGAGCATGAACTCCTTTATCGGATAAATGCCCAGATGAAGGCATTTAGAAAAGAACTTCAGGCCTTCATTGACAGACTAGAAGTTCCAAAGTCTTCGGATGATGGAAGTGCGGATGAACCATTGTCAGTGAGTCAGGTAGATTTTTACTTAATAAGCCATATAGGTAAAAGGTTCCAGCCAAAGATGTGGCACAAATATTCAGTCATCTTTTCCTTCAGATTCTTATATGCTGTGGGTGCCCTGCTTAAGCAGAGTTACACCTTTTAAATCCATTAAAGTCAATGGCTTTAGAAATGCGTTACTCTGCTTAGGATGGCAGTGTTACTTTCAAGTGTCCAGGATTGTGGCTTGCTATTTAATTCTGATATTCAGTTATTAGGACTATAGAAGTAGAACATTTTTTTAAAGTACCATTTAAAAAAAACACATGACCATCCGCTGGAATCCTCTTGTGTGTTCTAGGGCAGCAGGGCAAACTAAGACATGTTTATGTGCCTCATTTACACAATATTTTCCTCTTAAAATATGTTAAAGGGTCATGGGAACTGGGTATATGCAGGCATCCCTCAGGTCTTAGTTTACATCATATACATGATGGTAGGGTGAGCATTCCAGCCTCATTAACAGTGTTTCCAGCTGGCAACTGTGTGATCCACCCACAGTTACATATTGGAATTAGTAGCTTTTTATATTGTTCTACCATTAAATTGCATATAATGCTGTTTAGCTCTTGCAAATCATGTGGGTGCTGATTAAGAATGAAATCATATTGGCAATATCAAAAGCATGGAAGCATTTTGTTATTTAATGTTGCAGTCATTTTAGGCATAAGGAAATCTAGTCAGTGCCTATCTATTAATGAGCATTTGTCTCTGCTAAGACAAAATATGTAATGTCAACAATTATAATTTGTTTGGGATCCCTTTTCCTTGAAGCGAGTGGGACTGGGCATACAGAATCTGGACCAGACCACAGGTTACTGATTATCTCTTGAAATGATACAGTTGCTGTGTCATTAATAGAGCTCTATCTTGTCTTTGTATTTACCTTCCCAGATGTTCCAGCCTATCATTTTACTTATTCTCATCCTTGTATTATTTTCCTCCCTTTCTTACACAACAATATTTAAGCTTGTCTTCCTTTTCACACTGTTCTTCGTGTTGTAGACTTTTTTTTCATCATTTGTACCATTCATTGTAGTATTGTTTTCAGTTTGTTTTATTTTGTCCATCCTCCAAGATAAGAAGTACAAGAGCTATAGTTTCTGTAGTAATCACTGCTGTAAAAACACTGAAGACTACTTGTTTGCAAGAAGGAGAACCCGATGTTACATGTCAAACACAGAAAAAAGCAAGCAAAACCCTCCTCTATTTAAATGAATCCAAATTGTGCTCACTAAGAATGCCAGGTAAGCATGAGAAAAACAGATTTTTCTTTTTTTCTTATAAGTCATTTTTTTTAAAAGAAATTTTGGGATAACATACAGTTGAAAATCTTGTTTTTACTGAACTGGAGGCAAAAACAAGAACAGGGGAAGTTTTAAAATAATTGCTTAAATTATGACCATGCACTACCTAAAATGTACTGTGGTATGTGTTATACATAAGCATCTATATCTTAAATAGTTTTAGATATTTTATTTGTATGGTTATGGCCTCAACAGAGAAACACTATTCACAAGTTATGCAGAAACAATGTTTTGTTAGTGGTGGGCATGAAACTGGCTTGATGTTGCATTCTTCCTTCTTCTCATATGATTGAACTCTTCTGCTTTTCATTATAGTTAACACAGGTAGAGTTGCCAGATCTAAACTGTGAAATTCCTGGAGATTTTGGGGGTGGAGCCGGGAGGAGGACAGGGTTTGGGCATAGACCTCAGAGGGGTGTAATACCATAGAGTCCATCTTTGAATGCAGCCATTTTCTCCAGTGGAAAAGATCTCTTTTACCTAGAGACCGGTTGTAATTCTGGGAGATCTCCAGCCAGCCCCTGGAGACTGGCAACCCTAGTTAACTCTGATGGCTGAATTCAGGTTCCTGGGTAGGGTTGCCAGGTCCCTTACCTCTGCCAGTGGGGAGCTTTGGGGGCATTTTGGGAGGTGGGGGATGTCACACAATGTCCCCAATGCGGTGGCATCACTCAGAAGTGATGTCATCATGCTGGAAACATCACACAGGGATGCTCTGGAATTTGGGTGAAACTTTATGGGTCTTTTGCCCTCAAAACCATAGAGTTTGTCCAGATACCAGAATGTCCCCCCACACATTTCCAGCATGATGATGGCACACCTGGGTGATGTCATCGTGTCGGGGTGATACTGCTGGTTTTACCGGAAGTGGCCCAAAAATGTCATTTGGGGGTGGGACTTTTCCCCGCCAGCCACCTGGCTGGCAGCAGGGAAGCCCGCTCCAAATTGGGGGACCCCCTGCCTGGACTGGGCAGCTGGGATCCCAGTCCTGAGCTAAACGTCTTCCCCAGGAACTGGGATTATAATCCAGGGTTAAACCATTGTTTAGAAAACTTCTCTGTGGTTTGTGGGGAGAAAGAACTTTCAACCAGTGGATTTAAGGGAGTAACTAAGTTGTCTCCTGCCAACCTAGCAGTTTGAAAGCAAGAAATTGCAAGTAGATAAATAGGTACCACTTTGGTGGGAAGGTAACAGCATTCCGTGTGGCTTGGCATTTAGTCATGCCAGCCACATGACCATGGAAATGTCTTCGGACAGCGCTGGCTCTTTGGCTTGGAAACAGAGATAAGCACCACATCCCTAGAATCGGATTCAACTGGCTTTTGAACAAGGGAAACCTTTACCTTTACTTAGTTGTGAGCAGGAAGGGAAGTACATGGTTATGACAACATACTGAGGTGCTGTCTGCCATGAACAAACAGGTTTGCTGTGGTATTCAACTGCAACCAATATGTTGTTCAGAACAGGGAAGGTGGAAAAAAGCAATCTCCCTCCCTGGAGATTGCCTCACTTCAGATCTTGACAAACGATAAGCGCAGAGATCTTCTATTAACATCATTTGGGAGTTGTGAATGTATAGGCCCCTACTTTGGAAACATTTCTCTAGTGTGTTGGAGGGCTCTGTGTCCCAATGAATGGCAGTTTAGGTTTTGATAAAATCAGAATTATGTACAATAGTGGCATGTGTCCAAATGCTATGAATATTAGTGTAGCTGTTGTCTGTATCAACCTCAGTTGGAATGAGATTAGGGCTGCCAAGTGGGGGTGGGTGGCGGGTAAACCCCCGCTTCGGAGGCCCAATTTCCACCACTGTGGAATCGGGCCACGGGGGGAACTCCGCCCCCCGAAGCGCAGCGTGGCTGCGTCACCGGAGGTGACACAACCACGTCAATCACGTTGGGGGCATGGCCCCGATCGTCGGAGGGAAAACTCTATGGTTTTCCCTCTGATGATCGGGGCCACACCCTCAACGTGATCGACGTCGCGCATCGTCGACAAAGAGCTCCCGGAGACCAGTGAGGCTCCCCTGCCGGTAAGAGAAAACGACTTGGCAACCTTAAATGAGATAGAAAACTATGTAAGAATCTTCCTCCTGTTTGAGACCATCACAGATCAGATAAGACTGTATGCTTCACTTTCTGTGTCCCTTAACTCCTTTAAGCCCTATCTTGCCTGTCTCTAGCTATTTTTCATCCTGCCCGGAAATATTATAGCAATTCCTGAAACCCAGGGAAAAGAAGAACCGATGAGTGGCACATCTGGAGATCAGATTGGAGCAATTTATGCATGTCTTTCACAGTAGCCACAGAAATTGTCTCCACATGAAGCATATACTATTTGTGACTCACCAAGCCATAGGCAGACCCCCCACCCATGTGTTATGGCCAGGCAGGTGCCTGACTACACCCTTAGTTTCACAGTCTGAGGCAGATAGCAGACCCAGGAGACTTCTATATTGATACTGGGCCGTGTTTGGCTTGGTGGCTCAAAATATATGCAGGCCTGTTCCACAGTGAGTAATGTCAGAAGTATCTAATTCCACCCAGCCCGCAAGCTTGGTAAGTTTTTCTGTGGAAGAAGCCAAGAGTCTGGGAAGGGATCCCAAATACTTCATCTTCAGTGATGATGCTAATTCTGTTCTATGCGAACAGATCCACTGGCAGAAAGAACAGGATATGATGCTGTCAGGTAATTCATATAAATTAGAACCTCCTGTTCAAATCTAAAAGGACTGTTTCCTGTTTTATCCCTCATCAGATGAGTTCAGAACTTCAGAAGCAAGCCTATTAATAAGGCATTTTCTGTATCACTTGTGCTACTTATTAGATAATTCCTCTTGATATTCATAATCTTCATTAGTCCTTGGTGTTTCATATCCCTTTTCTAACCATCTTGATGGGATATATTATTTACTAGCAGTAAAGTTCATTGTAAAGCCAATACAATGAGATCTAGAAAGATTTGATGTATAACGAATGCATAGAAAGGTACAAATGTGGAAGTTAATGCTCAGAAACCGTATGTCAAGAAATACCTTGTGCCCAAGGCCATACCGTGTTGGCCAGAAAACAGCAGACAGGGCTCCATGGAGTAGTTTCTTCAGTTGGGCAGGCTCCAAAGTGGACATTCTGGGGGCAATGAAAGGCTTATTGTGTGATCTCTGAGTGCCGTTTCTTTCTTGCCTTGGCTGTCCTTCTCATCCATGGCATTGGCTGCCAGCTGCTTTGCGGCCGGCCAGCCACCTGCACCCAGCCAGCATCAGCCTCCTCATTGTCGTACCCAGCAGTGAGTTATGGTGTGAGTTGGCTGGGGCTGAGGCTTGGGGGGCTGCTGTTAAGTTGGCGGTGGCGTGAGGCAGTGGGTACAGCAGTAAGACACCTCTCCATCACCTGGCCAGAGCAGGTAGCCTTGCAGTGCGGGGGATGGGACAATGGGGCCTGTGGGCCTATCCGTTGCTCATGAGGGGAGGCTGGCATGGGCTGAGGGGGACAGCCAGGCATGGGCCATCCTTGAAGGGCTCCCCGGCAAGTGCTGGTGCTGTCGATGTGAGCAGGAAGCGGCTCTTGAGTATTCCCTCCTCCACAAGAGAAGGCAGAGCCACCCTGCACTGGGATGTTCCCCAAACCCCTCTCCCTGGAGGGGGAGCTCATTTGTGTATGAGGATGCGGCGACGGCCCCGCTTGTCTGCCTGGTGCTGGGAATGGCGGTTCCTTTTATGGTGGGGACGGGAGGGGGTGAGAGCTCCATGTCCTTGGCAGGATGACTGAACAGCGGGGTCCTGGCTGCATTTACTCTCTCGGAAGTGCTGGTGAGTGGCTGCCGAGGAAGTCCACATAGGATTGCAGCCTTGGCCAGCATGTTTTTTGTCCTTTTAACTCTACTGCGGGTCCATTTCTCTTGCCTTTGTATTCCCCTGTGGTCCCAGTTTTCTGCCATTGTGCTCTGCCCCCCCCTTCTCCCAGTCGGCCTCCTGTCCCTCTGCCCAGTGGACCGTCTGTCCCATTCACCAGCTCCCACCACATTGAGGCCAAGATGCTGGCCACCACTTCTCTGGGTGGGACTCAGCCAACGCAGCCAGCCAACGCAGCCAGGGGATTGGCAGACACCAAAACAGGATTATTATATAGGAGCGATTAATTTGTGGTATTCCTTTCACAAACAGTTTTTTCTTTGGGGAAGGGGATTGTGTTGTAGATTAGTGAAGGAAAATGTTTCTGTGGCAAACCTTCATGGTCTTTGCTTTTCATAGCTGCACAACATTACATTTGGTAAGGAGGTGGGATCTTCTGTTAGTCTTCAGAATGTGTTACGCTAAGTATTGGAAAACTGAAAAAATACCAGATAAATTAGAAGTAGTTCAGAAATGGTTTGAAGTTGCCGAAATGGATAAGTATATTAAATGGGAAAGACGAAGAAATAGCTAATAAGAAGTGGGAAAATCTATTTAAGCTGAAAATAAAATGAACGGGTTAGGAGAAGATTAGATATGAAGTAAGAGGAAAGATTAGGGCTGTATGCTCATCTATGTAAACTGATTTTGAAAGTCTATGTTATATTATGCCAGGTATGGGTTATCGGAAAAATTTCAATAAAAACACTTAAAAAAAAAAGACTTGCAATAGACATTCTGTGTGGCTGGCAGTACATTCACCTAATCTAGATCCTGTGGGCCACACTCTGAACTGTAGTACTTTTGTC